TTCATTTGTAAATCAAAAAGTAAAGGAGAAATACTTTAAAGTAAATGCTTACCATTTACCTTTTAATTTAAATAAGGAAAATCTACAAAGCTCATTTACTAGTTGTTTGATACCACGTATTACAATTTTTAACGGTCATTAACGGTGCCGTGACGATCCGTTAAAATATTGAGTTTTTCACAAATTTTGAAAAGTGAAAGGTGTGAATAGAAAAAAAAAATTCTGGAAGATGTTGACCACAAAAAAAAAAATAAATGAAAAGTACAAATAGGGGTTTTAGCCTATTTTTTAATAGTTGCTATTTTGTCTATAGCAATCACTTTGCTATCCGCTATGCTATCATAGCAGATTTTTGTTTTCTCATTATTGTCCACTATCTTTTACTGATAACCCTAATTCCAATGTCTTAAAACTTTTAGCGTTCTGGTTAAGAGCAAACAATTGGGTTCCTAAATTTTCCAACCTGAAGAGAAATTAGATGCATATTATGGTTTGCATATTGATAAACTCAACCAAACAATCACTTTAAACTTCCGTGATTGATGTCAATTTAAAAATCTTAAACATGCATTCTGAATTTTTTTTTTAAACTCGGTCAAGCCCAGAATATCAAAAAGGAGAAAAGAATTGAATGAAAAAGAGTAACAGGTCCGATGACGCTACCAATTTAGAATGTATTACTGCCACAAGGTGAGTTAACTGACCAGAGAGAAATGCATAGAGTAGAACCTAATGCAAATAGAAAAATTCAAATAAAAACCATTCAACATCCTAAATAAATAAATGACATTAATGACATAAGATCCATTTGACATTGTTATGTAGTACTATAACTGACATTGTTGTATAATATTATAATAGTGGAAAAAGTACTATAAAAGCAGTCCCAAACGGCAACGGAATAATATTTTACATTTTAATCACTACTAAAAACCACTTAATAATATTTTATAATTTTACTATCTATATAGTCAACAATAGAGTAACAGTAATACAGTGGCTACCAGAAATTACTCCGTTTTAAGAACCCCTGCTATTCTATATTCAATAACAGAAATTGCCAGAGACAGACCATGAACAAGAGTGGTTACAGATTCCATTTGCTTTCTGTTTTCCCTTTCCCTTGTTTCAACCAATGACAAAGCATTCTGCTGATCCTGCGTAATAGCAAGAAGCCTTCCTTTTTCATCGTTGCTTTCTCTTAATTCCTTCATGGTTTGCTCAAACTTTTGATTTAATTCGTAAAGCTGCACCTTATCATGTTCGATTTGCTCCAATGCCTCAAGCAAATCACCAGCTCTTTCCTGCAGCAACTTCTCTTTTCCATCAAGAGATGTTTCCAGAATGAGGATATCTTGCTTTAATTTTTCATTTTCTAATTTCAGCGCTCTTTCTTTCATGTTTAGGTCACCGAGTGTCTCCCTAGCTTCTTTGAGCATGATTGCATACGTCTTCTCCTCAACAATAGATGCCAAATCCAAATCTTCAAGTTCACATTTCCTGCAAGGTACAGCATTGCATGCAGCATCTCTAAATAAGTCTCTCAATCGGCCGTTTTCTAAAAGAAGAGATTCTAATCTGTCCCTCGAGCAGTCAAGACCATCAGCGTTATTACCGAATGCAGGTAATTTTTCATTTGGGACAAGAATGTTGTCCAACTTCAAAATGATTTCAGGGATCTTTTTTCTCAAGATATCAAAATCCTTATCCTTCCTCAATGGTAAAGAAGGACCCCTTTCCTTCAAATTCAAGAATTCCCTCTTGAGGCTATAATAGTCTTCAGTCATCTCTTGTACTTTGTAGTTATGGTTTCTCTTCATTTTTGCCATCTCATTCTTAAAATAACTCACCAACTCTTCCATTGACAAGTGCTTTAGTTGTGCAGCATTCACATTTTCAGGAATGGTTATTACAGACTCTTCATGCTTGCCATTTCCCTGCCTAAGAGAAGTTGATGTTGAAACAAGATTCCCTGAAACTTTGCGCTGCAAATGATCTTTTCTCTTACTACTGCCCAACTCCTCATCAATATCCAAGGACCCTTGAGGACTCAACTGCCCAGCTTCATGATTGGACAGATATTTCGAGATGGCTTCCAATTCCTGACGCAAACTTGAAATCTGCTTCCACAAAGATTCATATTTTGGTTCATAAGACACCAAGGGTTTGTTTTCATCAGAACCAACACGGTAAAGCTGCATTGTTTCCCTCAATTTTGTAAGCTCCAATTCTTTCTGAGCAATCTTGTCAGCTGCCTCTTGCTCAACTGCATTCACCATACCCCTAATGACAGCATCATT